TCAAGACAACTTTAAGATACCATCTTACACCTGTCAGAATGGCTAAAATCAAAAACACCAATGATAGCCTATGCTGGAGAGGTTGTGGAGAAAGGGGTACACTTATCCATTGCTGGTGGGAATGCAAACTTGTACAACCACTCTGGAAAGCAGTGTGGCGGTTTCTCAGAAAATTTGGGATCAACCTACCCATGGACCCAGCAATACCACTCTTGGGAATATACCCAAGAGAGGCCTTATCATGCAACAAAAATATATGCTCTACTATGTTCATAGCAGCATTGTTTGTAATAGCCAGAACCTGGAAACAACCTAGATGCCCCTCAATTGAAGAATGGATGAAGAAAGTATGGAATATATACATATTAGAGTACTACTCAGCAGTAAAAAACAAGGACTTCTTGAAGTTTGCAGGCAAATGGATGGAAATAGAAAACACTATCCTGAGTGAGGTAAGCCAGACCCAAAAAGAGGAACATGGGATGTTCTCACTCATATTTGGTTTCTAGCCATAAATAAAGGACATTGAGCCTACAATTCGGGTTCTTAGAGAAGCTAAAGAAGAAGGAGAACCCAAAGAAAAACATATAGGCATCCTCCTGAATATTAACCTTCATCAGGCGATGAAAGGAGACAGAGACAGAGACCCACATTGGAGCACCGGACTGAAATCTCAAGGTCCAAATCAGGAGCAGAAGGAGAGCGAACATGAGCAAGGAACTCAGGACTGCGAGGGGTGCACCCACACACTGAGACAATGGAGATGCTCTATCGGGAACTCACCAAGGCCAGCTGACCTGGGTCTGAAAAAGCCTGGGTTAAAACCGGTCTCACTGAACATAGCGGACAATGAGGACTACTAAGACATCAAGAACAGTGGCAATGGGTCTTTGATCCTACTGCATGTAGTGGCTTTGTGGGAGCCTAGGCAGTTTGGATGCTCACCTTACGAGACCTGGATGGAGGAGGGTTTTCCTCGGACTTCCCACGGGACGGAGAGCCCTGATTGCTCTTTGGGCTGAAGAGGGAGGGGGAACGTATTGGGGGAGGGGGAGGGAAAGGGGAGGCGGAGGTGGGGAAGAGACTGAAATATTTAATAAATAAATAAAGAAAGAAAGAAAAAAAAATGTAAAATCTGCATCCTGGTATCTCACTCGGCAGCCGCAGGGGGAGGTCTGCACAAGCAGGTGGTTGAACAGAAGCTAGGATAGGATAGATTGGCTGGGGCATCTCGACCTTGGGTTCCTAGAATAGAGCCGGCGTATTTTCCACAGGATTCTCCATCAGGGAGAGAAATTCATGTTAAAACTGAAATGTCCTCAGCAAGAATCCAAGGTGGAGGAACCTCTGCATTGTCTTGTCCCGTCACGCTGGGAAGGGTGACGAGTGACGGCAGATACAGGCCCATCAAACAACACACAGGCCCTGCTGTCTCTTCTCTGCCTCTTGCTTCCATTCTTGAGGGGGAGCATCCTCATCCAGGGCTTCAGCTTGTGTCAGGACCATGGCAATAGTGTCCTGACTGGACTCTTCTTCTGTTTCTCTGCCTTCTGGAATAATCATTTTAATTGTGCTGGGGATACAATCCAAGGCTTCCCACAGCTGAGTAAGCCATACACTCAGCCAAAGTTATCTGAAGTCCCGGTTTTCACTACGTCCTACCAGCATTTACCAGTGCTAACTAATAAGCCTTGCCACCTGACTTCTAAGACGTAGCCCTTGTCACCTGTCATTCTGTCCAGCTGGCTCCAGTTAGCTTTTTCCAGGCTCCCTGGTCCCAGACCTTGCGGTGTCTCAGACCCAACTCAGAGCCTACACTGCCCTTCTCTCCTCATGGCGTTGCCATCATTCAGTGCCCTTTGAACCTTTCTCACTGCAGAGTGAGGCATTGCTCGAGATTCAAGGCTCAACAGAAGTGTTTAGTCTTTAGGGAAGCCTTCTCTGGTCCCTGAGACAGCAATCATTCTCCCCATTCTGTGGTCCCTGCTAACTGGAGAGTTGCCTAAGAGCGTCAGCCAGGCCTCATTTGGCTTTGCCATCTGTAACTGGAGACTGTTCGTTCATTTCCCAGCCACCCCGACACAAATGATCACACAGAAACTATATTAATTACAACACTGTTCAGCCAGTAGCTTAGGCATATTCCTGGCTAACTCTTATATCTTAAACTAACCCATTTCCCATTTCTACTAGTTTTAGTCTGTGTATTGCCATGAGGATGTGGCCTACCAGCAAGGTTCCACTGTTCTTGAGTCTTTCTCCTTTGGCAGCTATATGGCATCTCTCTGACTTCACCTTCTCTCTCTCTCTCTCTCTCTCTCTCTCTCTCTCTCTCTCTCTCTCTCTCTCTCTCTCTCTCTCTGGCTATATTCTGCCCTGCCATAGGCCAAAGCAACTTTATTCATTAACCATTCAGAGAAACACATATACAGAAGGACATCCCACATCAGCCATCGTCCTCAGTCCCCAGTGGGAAGGTGCAACTGACAGATAGAGTGACCCCAAACTGGACCTGAACTAGGCCAAGGGGTCCACTTGAGCCACTCTTCATAGCTGTTTTCAGAGACTACTATATTTCGGGTGATGGCTTTTGAAAGAGCTAATGAAGGAAAGGACAAGATGGAGACCTAGGGACAGGGAGAGAGAGAGAGAGAGAGAGAGCAATAGAAAAAGGAAGAGCCAGCCGGTCGGTTGTGGCGCACGCCTTTAATCCCAGCACTTGGGAGGCAGTGTCAGGCGGATCTATGTGAGTTCGAGACCAGCCTTGTCTACAAGAGCTAGTTCCAGGACAGGGTCCAAAACCACAGAGAAACCCTGTCTCGAAAAAAACAAAACAAAACAAAACAAAAAACAAAAAAAAAAAAAAGAAAGAAAGAAAAAGGAAGAGCCAGAAGGCTAGAAAAGGAAAGACAGGGGGCAGAGGCCCTTTGGCAGTGCATAGTCAGAGAGCACTCTGGTAGTTCAGAGTGAAGTAAGGAAGACCTGAGGTTCTGGAGATGAAAGCAGCGGTCGTGGCGGGTCGGCCAAGTACACAGTTATTAATGGGCATTAGTGCTCTTGAGTGGCAATCAGTTCACGGAAGCATGTCCTGCTAGGAGCAAATGACAACCAACCAGGATGCCTCTTAGGAAAGAGCAGAAACAAGCATCAACACAAAAGCTGCCGAGCTCCTCAAAGAGCTCTCAGGGGCTCCAAGGGCCACTGGAACCCCAGAACTGCCTCACCCCACAAGGCTGGCTCTTGCCCAGAAAAGGTAGACACAGGGAGAGAAGAGACAAATTCTAAGCCTTCAGGATTCCAGGGCCTGTGCCAGACATATGTGACACACAGAGCTAATTTAACCCTTACTGTGACTCTGGGAGGTAGAGAATGAACCCATTTTTTAGATCAGAAAACTGAGGTCGCCGCCAGGTTCAGGATATTGCCTAAGGACACACAGCCTGAGAGTGATGGACCCAGGGTTCTAATGTAAGTTAGCCCTCCCTTGATGAGTGGGCCAAGGCCCAGAGCCTGGCAGCAATTTGATCTCCAGCTTTTCTGACTTTGGCTGTGGCACTCCTTTCTTTGGATTGATTTATGTAAGTGTAAACAAAAGGCCAGCAGTTTTTCTGAGCTTTGGAATGGGCCCCCAGAGTCACGCGCTGTTTTCCACTTTCCAGCGGGGCACCTTTGTTTAGGGGTTCGTGAATTTGAAGCTGCACGTTTGACCCAAGAATCTGCAGTGTGCACAAAAACACGCGGGGTGCTTTTTGTCCTGAAACACACCCAAGTGTGGGAGCTTGCAGCCTGGGACCAGGCTTTCCATCCCCTCCCTCTCAGCGACCTTACCAGTATATGATACTTCTGGTGCTTGCCTGGGCTCCCAGCCCACCCCCACCCCACCCCCGCCTTTTAATTTCTTTCAGATGTCGCCTCCACACTGTCCCCACTGTGGTACATTGCTTTCGCTCAGTGGGTGATAGATGCCTTCTGTCTGTTGGCAGCTATGAATGACAGGAAGCTGGACAGGGCAAATTGGGACAGCTTTTCTTGGAATTCTGATGTTGATGTGGTTAGGCTAGCTCATGTAGGAAGAATGACTGGTACCAGCCAGGGGCTCAGTGCAGGGGGCAAAGTGGCATGCAGCACTCTGTCTCCCCAGTAGGGGTTTGGCTTTGAGGAGAGACAAGTTAGCTAGAAAGTCCACGATGGCTGTTTTCTGGACTTGCTCTACAGTCAGGAATAGACTAGAACCCATTGAGCTTCCAGCGTTGTGTGTCCTACATGTGTGGCAGTGTCGGGATGCTCCTGCACGGGTGGCAGTATATTAGGATGCTCCTGCACGGGTGGCAGTATATTAGGATGCTCCTGCACGGGTGGCAGTATATTAGGATGCTCCTGCACGGGTGGCAGTATATTAGGATGCTCCTGCACGGGTGGCAGTGTCGGGATGCTCCTGCACGGGTGGCAGTGTTAAGATGCTCTGAAACCTTGGGCGCAACAGAACTCTCTTTAATTCGCACAGTGACCTGAAGAGGAACAAGGCACTGATCTTGGGTTGGGGCTTGGTGATCTTAGTGGGGCAGGAAACCTCAAAAACACCTTCAGAGGAAGGATAAGAGAAGATGGGCAAATATAAGAAAAGCAAATGATATACATGTTTGAAATTTTCATAATAAAATCTATCATTCTGTACAGTGAAAATGTGCAAATAAAAATAAAGTATATTGAGAATCTGAGCTGACTGTAGTCACTGGGGCCTGTAAAACCAGCAGTTAGCAGACCAAAGCAGAAAGATTTTAAGTTTAAGGCCAGCCTGGGCTACACAGCAAGATCCTGGCTCAAAATTAAACAAAAACCAAATCGAAACAACAAAGCATGTAACTGCTTCTTCCCACCCTCTGTGCGGAGTAGATCGCCTGCGGGAGTGGGGTGCTGTCAGCACAGAGCCCCTGCTCAGAAAGAGCATGGGGAAGCAATGTCCTCCCCTCACCTCGCTTTGTTTTCTCTTGTCCTTACAGGTGCCTGCCACTGGGTGAATGGAATTCGCAGCCAGAGGGCAAGGGAGCTTGTGGATGCAGCCAGCACAGGTCAGTTACAAGGGCCAAACTGGATACAAGAGGGCAGAGAATATATGGAGGAGCAAGGGGAAAATGGCCAGGCAAGCTGCCTGTCTTGGGAGCTGAGTTCTCCACTCCTGACTCCCACTGAACCACTGATTTCTCAGTGAGACCCGCTCTGGCTACCTTTCTCAAATGGCCTCACACCCTTTTCCCATTGCTGCTCTTAATAATAGCACTTAATACCACCCATCAACTAAGTTTCTCATGTAGCTTGTTCATGGCCTACTCTCCCAGTAGAGCAGGGCAATGACTTGCTTTTGAACATCACTATTGGTGCCATCTGGCACATAGTAGGTACTCCACAAATGGTGAATTAAGAAATAATAGAAAGGATGCACAGGCTGGGGCCACCCGAGGTGAGTCCGCCCTTAGTCTTTTGTGCTGGGTTGTAGGCATCCAGCCTTTACGCCCACCTGGTGCTGTTGATTTCTTCCAAAAGGCTCAGCACCTGCCATGCCTGAAGGTCTGAAGGTGGGGAGGCCTTTGCTGCTCCCAGGTTTGTGGCTGCGTGACACTTTGTTGACCATAGCCCTCTAGAAGATGTGGTTATGTTGTCTGCCGTGTAATATTTAAGTGGTTGTGAGCAGCAGTGGGACATTGGCCCTTCCTCAGGGACAGCCTCAGCTGCTGGTGGGCCTGTTTTAAAACGAGGAGGATCAGATCCACTTCCTTCAGGTTCAAGGGCGGGGGGCTGGGAGCTATGTCCCCGGTTACCATGCTGATGAGACACTGCAGATGAGCAATGCGGATTTGAATTCCTAGAACACTGCAGGGATGCTTTTATAACACAAATAATAGGAATACATTCTCAGCAATGTTTGTGTTATTCCAGTGCTGGTGATGGAGCCCAGGGCCTTGTGCATGCTACGCTAGGCAATCGCACTGCCACTGAGCCGAACCACTAGCCCATGCATACATTCTTATTGTAATCAAAACCAATGCAGCTACTTTTAAAATCCCGTGTCCACCCTGCTCCCCAGAGGTAGCCACTGTTCCTGGTGTGGAGTGCTCGCCTTCTTTGGGGTGTTCGTCTCTGTGTACAGCTTGGTTTTACGTGGAAACTTGAAAACAGTCAATCAGTGGTGCCCTAAACAGTGATCAGCAACTTGCTTTTTTTCACTTAACATTATGTCTTGGGAACCTCTGTGTCAGGATGCACGTCTAACTCAGTGTTCTCATAATTAAATGGTTTATTTTTTTAATCATTGTAGAGTAACCTGCCATTACAAAAATAATACAGGTGCTCTTTGCCCAGCTTTTCTCTATGGTTAGAAATCCAAAATAACATACAAGCAGAATGCTGAGACCAACTGCCACAAAACAGCATTTCCACACTACCAGGCCGTGCCTACCCAATTCCTATTTAACCCCTATTACTCCTTTAGTTTTGCATTTATTTGTGGGTGTGTATGCGCGCAAACACACGTCCATGCACACTCATATTGATGTACCTGATCAAGTCATGGTCAGAGGACAGTTTTCCTTCCACCATGAGGGGCTGGGGTGGCACTCAGGTCGTCAGGCTCAGTGGCACCTTTACCCTCTGAGCCATTTCACCAAGCCCACCATTTTTTCTTTTATTTCATTGACTATATTGTACATTATATTATAGTATGTAAAGATGTTTTCATACAAGTCTATGTTATACACCGAACACGTTTCTCACACTCTGTCCCCTGCCTGTCCTCCCCACCTTCATATTAGGCAGCTTTGTGAAAGCTTCACTTCTAGTTCCGTGTCAGATGCACATAAATGATTGTGTGTATCTATATAAAACCTAGGAATCACGAATGAAAGGAAACATATGATACTTGTCTGTCTAAGCCTGTCTTCATTTGCTTAATACAAGTATCTCCTCTTGGATCGATTTTCCTGCAAATGATATAACAACTTTGTCCCATTTTTTGAATTCGGTCGTTTCAACAAAATTAGGTTAGAAAGAAGCAATCATATCATGTGACCTTTAGGGATTTCTTTTCATTGCTACCATTAGCTAGAGCAGCGGTTCTCAGCCAGTGGGTCCTGAGTCTTTGGGGGTCATATATCAGATATCCTGCATATCAGATATTTACATTGGGATTCATAATAGTAGCAAAATTACAGTTAGAAAGTAGCCATGAAATCACTTCATGAGCAGGGTCACCCCAACCTGAGAAACTGTAGTAAACGGTCACAGCATCGGAAAGGTTGGGAACCTCGGCTCTGGAGCTTTGTCCTCGGCCTTATCACATTTGGCAACGCTCTGGTTCATTCAGTGTTTGCTTATTTGTACAGCAGTCCTCCTTGGTTTTGCCGAGTAGCTTTCTGTGATTCTCACAGATCACAGAAGGTGTCCATTCACACATTGGAGGGCATCTGTGGTGTTTCCTGGGCTTGGCTTTTACGAATAACACTGCTATGGGCATTTGCCCAGCAGCTTTTTTGTGGACTTAAGCTTTCCATTCTCCAGGACAGATGCCCAAGATTGCAGTTGCTGGGTCATATGGTACTTGTATGTTAATTTTTTTTAAGAACGTGCCAAACTGATTTTCCAGAATGCTCTACCATTTATGTTCCCACCAGTCGTGTCCGAGGGATCCGATTTCCAGACACTTTCGTCAGCATTTGGTGGTGTCGCATTTTAGTAAACTTTAGACATTCAGAGAGGTGTGTGGTGATGTCTCACTGGGGTTTTAATTTGCATTTCCCTGGTGGTTCCTGAGGTTGAGCATCTCATGGGCTGATGTGAAAACCATGTCTCCTCTTTGGTAAATGCCTATTTATGTCTTTAGCTCATTTTCTGCTTTGGCTGTTTGAATGTTTAACCGCAGAGTTTTCAGAATTCTTTATGCATTCTAGATTCAAGTGCTTTGTGGGACATATGTTTGTCAAATATTTCCCCTAGCATTTAACTTTTGAAAAATCTTCTCAGTAGGGTCTTCCACAGGAAAAAGTTTTGACTTTGATGAAGTACAATTAACCAATTCTCCTTCTGTAAATCCTTTTGAGTCTTAGAATGTAGCCCAAGCAGGCCTTGAACTCCAGATCCTCCTGTCTCAACCTCTTCCTGGCAGGCATTATAGGCCTGTGCCCCAACTCCCAGCTATAAATGAGTTTTGATGATCAGATATGTGGACTGGTTTATATGGCCAGCTGTAAATTTCAAGATGAATTTCTCTTCTTTTCTTATTTTTCAAAAATTTTTTAAAGTTTATCGTGAGTATAAGAGTTTATCAGATGCTTTTCTGCATTCATAATTGACATGATTATTTTCTTCTTTAATATGTTAGTATGGTGGATTACATCAATTGTGTAGAATTGGTATAGAATTCTTTGAGCAGTTGGAGAAATTTACCAATAAAACTATTGGATCTTGATATTTCTTTTGGGGAGGGTCAAGACAGGGTTTCTCTGTGTAACAGCTCTGACTGTCCTGGAACTCTCTTTATAGACCTTGAACTCACAGAGATCTGCCTCTCAAGTACTGGGATTAAAGGTGTGCGCTACCACCCAGTGGATCTTAATATTTCTGTTTTAAATTTTAAGCTCATTTCTCCTCTCTCTCTCTCTCTCTCTCTCTCTCTCTCTCTCTCTCTCTCTCTCTCTCTTCTTTTTAAGATCAGGGACTATTTTATTATCGCTTAAAAGAAAACTCTAGGTCAGGCAAGCTGCAAACCTCAGCAACTTCCCAGAGGAGGAGACCGGGGTGGGGGCAGCAAAGCTGGGCATGGAGATCAGCCATAGGGCAGCCAGCAGCCACATGGTGGGACAGTGGCTTTACAGGGAGACTAAAGAAGTCCAGTGTGTTAGGGAATTTATGTTTTTCTGAGTAATTAGACGAGTGGGCTGACTTAGGAAACGGTGTGGTTATGCTCTGTAAGAGACTGCAGTAGGGGATTCTAAGAAGGAAAAGTGCAGTATCTCATTAAAGGGATAATTATTCCTCCTATTTCTCTAGCATGGCTTATAGTGATCCTGAGTTCCTAAGAGTGATCTTCCTGAAGGATGGTCTCTTGGCCAGGTAATTGACCCCGCCAATTGGAATACTAGATCTCTTGATCAGAAAGGGTTTCCTTTAATGGGGCCTTTATTGCTATTCTAACACCCCTCCATGAAGAGGCAACCCTAAAATCGTTAGGAAATAGACTGAAAAGGGAGGACAGAACACATTTACACCATAAAAACTTAGAGTTCCAGTTCCAAAACTGTCCACTAGAAGGGGTCAGTGGCTAGACTGGAAGAACTCAGTGTTCTTAATGGTTGCAGAGGTTTTCAAATCTATTTCTTATTAGGTAGATTTTGGAGGTCTGTGATTTTTAAAAAGCTGGTCCATTTTATCCAAGTTTCCATTGTACAGTTTCTCCCAGCATCCTAGACGTCTACTGCTGTGTCCATGGATTTAGTACTTCGTGCAGCGAATCATCTTCCATTCCATTTTCTCTAAAGTGTTTTTTGCATTCCTTATGCATGCTCCCTGATTTAAGAATGGGTTTGTTAAATTCAATGAATAATTTCTGTGGATATTTAGCCGGAGAAGCAGTGAGTTCATAGATGCCTTTAAGGAGACGAGGCGGTCTTGCCTCCGTCGGGCAACCTTTTAACCTTTTCTCCATTACGGAGACCACTGGAGCCTGCGTGAAAGGCAGCCAGGCCTAAGGAACACATACAGCCCACCTCCCTGACCTACGCCCACGCTCACCACCACCCTGTTTGTGTCTGCTTCTGAAGGCCTGATCTTCAGGCTCCAGAAGTTAAATATTTATTTTATTTTTTTATTTATTTATTAAAGATTTCTGTCCCTTCCCCACCGCCGCCTGCCCTTTCCCTCCCCTCCCCCAATCAAGTTCCCCTCCCTCTTCAGCTCAAAGAACAATCAGGGTTCCCTGCCCTGTGGGAAGTCCAAGGACCACCCGCCTCCATCCAGGTCTAGTAAGGTGAGCATCCAAACTGCCTAGGCTCCCACAAAGCCAATACGTGCAGTAGGATCA